AAAGGTTGAGAACCACTGCTTTAAAGTATGCAGTGAACAGGAAGTATCTAAGATATTTTCAGGGACAATATTAGAGTGTTATCCTAGTAATGTATTGTCTGGTTCATTTGCATAGCAAAAAGAATCTCCCAGCCAACTCTCTAGGCAGTTTTGCCCTCATTTTTTCTCTTTTTTTCATATACTATTCTCACAATGGTTGCTTTGATGGTTTCCACATGCTGTTCAGTGTATATTGTAACTCCTATCAATGAGAGTGATTTTAAAATCATAGAACTTGTTTTCCCCTCACTTTCCCTTTTGATCTCAAGTTGAAATGGGCAAGAGGAACTGCTAAGCAAGAAAATCCATAGGTGTTTTTTTAAGGCTATTTTTTTTAAATGCATGCTGACACAGCTGTCTTAACTCTGCATAACTTTACAATCTTTATTTTTAAATCTACATTCCTGCATTATTTATTTAGTTATTAGCTTTCTAGACCACCACAATCACACACAACTCTTGGCAGTGTAAAGAAAGCACAATTATAAACATAGAAATAAAACAAGCAGGGTATAATAAATATAATACATTAAAACCAACAACTTAACCAAAGCAATAAAAACATTGTCATCTTCTCGAGTAATTAAAAAAAACTTTAGAAAAGCTCCATCTCAACTTGTTTATGGAAGACTGACAAGGCTGAAGCTAATCTCATGCTCTCTGACTCTCTCATTACGAGAAACCTTCAGTTGTGGTTTGAGTCATTTCACGATAATGGGAAATTATAAAGAAATTTTTCCTAAGAAGTTCTTATTGAGCCGGTCATTTCTAACGAACATGGTTGGAGAGTTGCTTAAATAAAATTTGCATCTTTATAGATTTACACAAGAGCTACTGATCTTATATTTAAAATTCTACACTGTACCACAGTGAAATTTTGTGATCTTGAATCTTATCACCGCATACCCATCTTTAAAACATGATAATGTGATTTGGTGGCACCAGAACAGCCAACTTAAGCCTACCTCAGAAAATCAACCACATCAATCAAGCACTTCTCAGTACTTCCAGAAATATCTAGTTAGAAGTCCTTTTTGGTACTGATGTCTCCTGTATAACAGCGTTTTCCATACTAAAAGTCAGGATCCTTTTGATTTAGATGGGATTGTAGCACTGCAGGTTATTTCTACAGATCTTTGAATGGGATATCTTATTTTCTGATATTTTAAATGAAGGAGACTGTATTTTAAGAAAAGAAAAGGCATGATGATAGTCTGTTTATAATCCAGATTTTAGAGTGTTGGGGCCGGAGGAGATCTCTTAGTGCAGGGGTAGGCAACCTTGGCTCTTTTATGACTCTTGGACTTCAACTCCCAGAATTCCTGAGCCAGCATGGCTGGCTCAGGAATTCTGGGAGTTGAAGTCCACGAATCATAAAAGAGCCAACGTTGCCTACCCCTGTCTTAGTGGAATAGTCTGCAAGAATGACTCCCAATAGAACTGACATTTATACTGAAGCAATTGGGAGGACAGGTAACTGTACAAACATAAATGCATAAATTCAATTTTTAAATAAGTAAATCAACTGTAATTTCACTATAATTTGTTTTACTTTACAGAGAACAGTTGAACGGCTGTTAATGGACAAATCTTTATTTGAAGGTTGTAGAATCTAAAGCCAGATCAAAGATTAAACACACACACACACACACACACACTGGAGACAAGGACTTTGAAGCAGCCCACCAACAATCCCTGGAGGACAAACAGAGCAGGTGACCAACTAGCCAAACCTCAGTCTTTCCCATCATGGTAAAGTATTATATTATTGTATTTCTATCTAAATTACAACCATTATTTCTAAAATTACAAGAAAATCATTATATACATATAAACAACATAATGTTACACTTTTGACATTTTAGCTTTCCTAAGTTTTTGGCCATAATTAAATACACCTTCTTGGATGATTTCATGCTAAATCAAAACAGCATGATTCCCAGCAGGGACCTCAAAAAAAAAAAGAGGCGAGTGAGAAGAATGGAAATAACATCACATTTTTTAAAAAAAAAATTGTATCCCAATCTTGTCTTAGATTGCACTATTAGAAAATTCCCAGTGCGCTGCTTTTTCCAAATGCCTGATTTCTGAAAGACAAGCACATTTTCAAGCAGGTGTGAAAGAGCCAGGATACAAACAAGGCAAAAAAGAGAGAGAGAGAGAGAGAGAGAACGGTTCTCAGAAGGCACTCAAGAGGCCTCATCAAAAGCATGACACATCAACTTCAGGCAGGCTGAGACACTCTACCATTATCTAGTTTGCAGATGGACCACCCAGGAAACCTGGGTACAATTAAGGAGGGGAAAAAACAAATGCAGAGTGGAAGAAGAGAGGAGGGGGAGTCCTTGGGGGGCAGAGGAATGGGCCAAAGGGCTGGCAGAGATTTCTTATATTGTCTGCTTACAAGCCTACTGAGAATGAGGGGAGCCAATTAAAAAAAAAAAAGGGAATACAGACGAAAGAGATTGGAAAGGGAACATAATAAAACAAATGGGCAAGAAAGTACACTCTCTCGGAATGAAGCAGAACATGGCAGTGCAAATTTATAGAATGCCAAAACAGTAAGTCAACATGACAGAGGAAAGCCAATCGCACCCACAGACATGTTTATACACAATGTTGAACACATTTGCAGATGCACACACAACCATCCAGGTGATGACGATCTGAACGTTTCATAAATTAAGACAATGATCCCCCAAAGAGCACGATGGAACAGCTGGAACTGAAGATGCAGGTCTGTTTTTAAATAGCTGAAAACACTTGGAGTAGGGGGAGCAAATAGAACTGAAATTAGTCTTCACTCCCTTTCTTAAACAGCTGATAATCAGAAGGATTTCAGCTTTTTTAAAAATAGGGATCATCTGCATCACATCAGAAGAAGGATTAGAGACTGCAGTCTTAGATCCTGACTTCTGTTTTTGAAGTATAATGGACTATGTTTAGTACATAATAAGAACAAAATAAATTCTTGTAAGTTATAACTGCAACTATTTATAATCAATGTGATTGCAAAAATCAATCAGGCAATGTCCTAATGTTTATGGGATAAATACACAGATTAAAAACTGTACAAAGAGTCCAGAAACACAAAGAAGTATTTCAGGACAAAAATGAGAAAGAAGTCTATTATTTTAATTTAGAAATGATTGCCTAGGCTAGCTTTCTTCAACTGGTGGAGGAGGGGGGATGTCTCTGATGTGTTAAATAGGTTATACATAATAGGAACTCTGCTCTAACTCATAACTAGAGATCATCAGGTTGGGGAAGGCAGATCTAGACAAATACATAAATCCACCCCACACATCTAATGACATGAGCTCTACTTCACAAAAGCTTATGGCTTTTAATAAAAACTGTTAGTTTGAAAAGGTAACACCAGACTAATTTTGGCTATTTTAGGACTGTGGCTCTCTTCCAACAATCACATAAATCTAAGCAATTCAACGACATTGCACAATTGAGTAAAAAAACAACAACCCAGATCTTGGAATCTTTTATTTATTTTAGCAAAAGTCCTGTGATTTGATAGCACTATTGAAAGAAATGGAATTATAGATTATTTGCCCATCTGCTTCAACAACAGTCACAATGTGGCAATTAATTTACCAGAAATACATGAGCCTTGCCCAAGACTGATCTTGCCCTACAAGGCTGAAATTTCTCTCTGAAGCCTCCTTCTACTTACAATAGTATTTGAGAGAGTTTGTTAAAATCATGCTTAAATAATTATTATGAAAGTTCCTTCTCACATCACACAGAGTCATATTGTTTGAAGAACACAAGTGTGAATTACAAAACCTTTCTGAACTTGTGACACTTTCCCATTTGCTGAAGCACAATTGCCTTATAAAAAGCGCTAACTGAAACCCCCTGAAGCTCAAAGAAGGGGTGCAGGGAAGGGATGGGCTCAAGAGAAGTCTCTTCAATGTCTTTCACATCAGATAAAAAAAAATCCCCACATAGCATATGCATTAGCTCTAGTTTCCAGAGGATCAAGTGGAAATACAGAAACACTTAGGTTACCATCCAAAGGAGAACTCTGTTAATAGTTTAAAAGTAAAATTTGTACATGCTGAAAGATAGTGTTATCTGGCCTATCATGGTCTTCAATATGGAAATAATTTTTGTACTACTCAAAAGGACTCTGGCATGCTTAAATAATATGTTGGACAAGCCTATGTTCTGTTGGGTAATATCTGAAACCGTCAATGGGACAAAATAAATAAGTTTATTTTAATATATTCAGAGGTTATTTTGAATTCAAAAATTAGATGACTGTCAACTGAAGTCAACTGAACTTTGGACTTTTGTTTCAGTAACAGCCACTCTTGTTTCTAAACTGTTTTCTATTAAGCTAAGACTGAAAAGCAGTTTGTGCTGTCAAGTCTCTGAATAAGATTAAAATAGCTTTTCAGATCCTGGAGATTTTGAACGAGTGTTGATGCTTTCCTATCCATAAATTAGAGATCAAATATTAATGCAAAGTTCTCAGTTATCCAGTAATAAATTCTCTAGCTTTCTTCAATAACTGATTCATTTTAAGAAGGGTGGTAGTAGTAATTTTTTTTGAAAAGATAGATCTGCTCTTCTTTATCCCCGATGTTTAATATGGTCTTAATATATTTTTGTTCAGAACCACAACATAATGAGCCAAACCAACATTTTAAAAAAGAAGCAAGTTGAAATAAAACTTTAGACTGGCAGCATATCTAACAAAAATATTACAAGCTATCATGCAAAAAAAAAAAAAACCCTACTTGCATTTGGCCTCATGTATCAACAGATAAGGAATGGAGCAGTGAAAGATGGAAGCTTTTTGAAAAAAAATGTAAACGAATAACATTGCTCTTCTGAAGGTAACCATTACATTGAAATGCATGGCAAAAATAATGAAGAGGCAGGAGGAGGAAAAAAAAATGGATCTGGCATGCTTCCAGTTAAAATGGAATTGATCCCACCTCTTTCCATTGCTATCACGCAGCATAGACTTCCTCAGCTCTTTGGATTTAGCTTCCAGCTCTTGAACCTGCTCCAGCAAAGTTTTACGGTAAGTATGCTTGGCCCTGCATCATAGGAGAAAGACACAAAACAAAGAAACTAACACATCAACTTTCATTGACTACATGAGAGTCAGGTTTCCTGTTCAAGGTCAGACAGCAGGAATGGCTAGGCTAGCCAATGGGCTGTGTGTTCTCCTGGATCTCTCGCAAACTTTCAGATGATGCTGAGCACAATTGAATTTCAGCCAAAAAAGACAAATATCTTTTCAAGAACACATGTGTGGTTCAGTTTTTGAGCCACAAGTGTACAGAAATATAAGAAATATTTATACAAATAAAATACTAATCTGTTCCATCCTTTATGTGGTCTACTCTAATACACAAAAAATAATTTCTAAAATCTAATAATTCTTAGAAACACACATTAAAAAAGTTGAGTTTTTCATTCATTTTAAATGTCTTACTGGATGGATACATTATCATGGCTCATGAAGATGATGCTCAAAGGGCGGACCATAGTCCATAGAGTACCATAGTCCAAATGAGGCATGGCCCAAGGCATGAGTACCACTTCTTGGTCCCAAAATTGGTACCACTGAAGTACTATATAGGAACTGTGCAAAAACCTTCTAACCACAACTGCCACCTGCTCCTTGACCAAGAGCTATGAGCCCAAGATGAACTACAAGATGTGAAACAGTTTAATTTGAAAGAGCACAACATCATCCAGAATCAAAGAAGAAATTTCACTGGTATCAGCTTTCAAATCACAACCACTCCATTTTGCTGAGATTGAGTCTGTTCCTCTCCAGAAAAATTGATTCAGTCCCCAGGATAGCATCTCAACAGCATCATTTGGCTTAGGGTCAAAATATACACCAAAATATTATCCACATGCAATTGATATTATATGCCATGCTGGTGGATAATCCCTTCCAGTGGTTTTATGTAACTGCTAAATAGAAGTGAGAAAATAGAGCCCTATGGTACTTCATAAAGTAGGGCTGTAGAGTTCAAAAACCCAACTCACTGACTGAAACTGTGCCTAGAGAAAGGAGGACAACCACTGCGAAACAATGCCTTCATCCAGAGGTGATCAATGATTGATGATTGAATTTATAGATCAAATAGGATAGGAGGGGTGCCCTCCCCACTCCAGTTCTTCTGCTTGTCATCCAAAAGAGTGATCAGGGATTCCAATCTTGAATTCGGACTGAAATGCATTGAGATCTTATTGATGTGTACAGGACTAATATAAGAAACAGAGGATCATCTATTAGTCTTTTCTCCCCTCACTTCAAGTGATTTACTGATGAAAGGTCCTGGATTTCAGCAACCATATTATTCAATTTGAAATAAGGTCATAGTATGATATTAGCTATGTGCTCTGCTTTTCAGCTCATTAGATAACATACAGTTTGCTATTGCATATGACAGTCAGAAATTTGGTAGCTGAATAAATATCATATTATCCAGGCAATTAAATATTTGTAGAAATCTCAAATGCATACTTTTGAGAATCAAATTTAGTAATATTTGTTCCAATTAGAATAACTGTGTGCCACCAGATACATCAGTGAGAGAGTTGTTCAAATTAGTGATTGACTGAATTAAGCATATAATGGGCACATATCATACTCACACACATCCATAGACCAGGCATATGCAGACACAGTGAAAAACCTAGAAATCTGCTAGATGATAGCAAGAGAGTATCTGCACTTCCTTATTATCATCTATTTGTTCTCAGTGTTTTGCAGCCCAGATATAGTAGTACAAAAGAGAGGAAGAGGGAGTGAGAAAGAGAGAGAGATTGAGAGATCTGGATATTCCACTTTATTTTCTCACATTTAATTGAATGATTTCCTTTTACTTTGAGGGCAACAGCAAAAAATAATCGCATTTTTGCAGTGGCTGCAAAACCTACTTCAGGTTTTGATACTGATGGAATAGGTCATCAAAAGATTTTACAGTATAAAAGCAATGCAATACAGTCTCACCCATACAATACATATTTTTTCACACTATCAGTGAAGTATGACAGTGAAACTTTGTCAGTGAAATATGATTATTCTTTTTTGTATTTTCAGAATCTTAGTATCATCTTAACAAAGATGAGAGGGGAAAGATGGTATTGATGTGTTTCTTCTGGAGACAGAGATATTTTGTCTAGAATATTTTTCTAAGATTTTTTTTTAGGGAACCCCCCCCATACTTGATACAACTGATGTGACAGAGAGATCTGCACTCTTAAAAATTAAACTGCAAAGAGATCTCTTCCAGTTTCTTTGTTTTCTTTGTTTTTTTTAAAAACAATTTTTAAAAATCCTGTCAGAATGAGCATTTGCAATCAATTTCTTCCTTTCTTCAGCACTTCCTGCAACGGACAGAAAAATGTACATGATTCCATGACCATTCAACAAGTGTAAAAAAGGTCTCCAACTTGCAAGCCCTACTATAGGTACTGGGTCATTCAAAAGTTAAAAGAAGATGAAACAAACTTCTTAGCCACCTTCTACTTTTTAGATAGTTAAGAACACCAATCTTCTGCTGCAAATTTTGTTTTCCTATGGAACAACAATGTTAGTTGGACTTACTCCTGTTGAAGGTTACATGATTATGAATCCATTTATTTCCATCAGAACACACTGTAGAATTACTTTTAATCCATGGTAACTGTTGAAAATAGCCAAGTCTTCAAGACCTGGGATACTGAAGAAGATCACAAGAAGTTGTCTTCTTTCTGATAACATTTTGCTCCCTTTTCAGAGGACCATTTTTTTTGTACAGAATGAAACATAGCAGAGGGCTCTAAAATTAGCTAAATTAGCTAATTAGCTCCATATTCAATCAATAAATTTAAAATATGGTCTTGTTTGGAAATATTGGTAAGGAACCCAATCCATCAAGAAACTCATGCATTCTTTAACCACAGAGAAATATGACAAGGGGATAGTTTATTTGATGTTGCACATCTTGACGGCTGCCAGATTGGCGTTCGCACAAAAATGGAAGAACAAAGAAACTCCCACAGAGAAAGAAATACTATACAAAATACTATCTTGTGCTGAAATGGACAGGCTTATGATGGAACTGAAGGATAAAAGTGGATCTGAATACTTTGAAATCTGGGATAAATTTTACTATTGGTGGGAGTCGAGGAAGACTGTTGGGGTTATAGATTAGCGTTAATATGGAAATGTATATAATCTTAGGTTAGCAAATAGAGAAATGAATTAAGTATTGTATAAAAAACTCATATGTATCTATAGAGATAAAGAACTAAATGTAAGAAGAGAAATAATTTGATAGAAATGTTTATACTGGAATGTTACATCATGTCCAATGTTTTCTTTTTTAACTGTATTATAAATAAAAAACTTTTTATAAAAAAAAAAAGAATCTCATGCATTCTTCATATCACAGTGAGATACAAAGTTAAGAGACAACCAAGGATTTTCATTTGGAAAATCATAATATTTTGCATTAAATATTCATTATTATTATTATTAAGTACCATCCTATATAAAATTTGACTTCTATACTCGCTTAAAAAGCAGTGTTATATGTATCTTCATAGATGAGGAAATGGAAGGTTGTCTAGGAAAATAAATGGCTGCACATTTGCAGAGAATCTAAAAAGAACCATTAGCACTGATTATCACTTTGTACCCATCTAAGTGATTTAGGATTGAGGTTAAGGGTCAGCAGCTGTAGGACTAACCTGAAATATTGTAAGTTTAAGCAAATAACGTTTTTCAAAAGAATGTAAGTAATAACTTACGCTCTCCATGCCACATCTTTAACAAGGCACGCTGTGGGCACTAGCAGTAAACCAATCCAGAAGTGTCCGCATCTCAATACCATTCCTGCCTGTAAAATGTAATAATAAATACAGTATTAATTAGATATGACACTTTTTTGGTGAACTGAAATGAAAGAATAAGATGAGATCATTGCTAAGAAATCTATAACATAAATCCCGAAATCTGAAGATGTTCCTCAGTCAAATTTCTTTGGAGTTATCCCTCCCAAAGATGGACACACAAGTTTGTCTTTGGAGGGATAAATTTAACATCAACATTTTCCTGCAGCAACACAACACTATCTAAACTTTGATTTTGAACGGCACAAAAGGACCATTTTCTAGATGCATTTTAGATAAGAATAGCTCTCCTGTGGGCTTTATAGAAGAAGGTCCTAGTGGTAATGCCAATAGGACTCTGAATAAGAAAAATCCTTTCCTTTTGGATATTCCCAGTGTATAATCTTTAATTCAATAGCCAGCACAGTTTATGGTAATTACAAATGGTAAAATGGCTGTTGATAGCACATCAGCTTTTTTCACAGTATCACATTATTTTTCACTATAAATGTTCACTCATAAAGATAATATATTCCTTGGGATTATTCCAGGACAGAATAGATCTGTATATTAAAAACTTGTGTTTTAGGAGAAAAAGCATGTTTGGTTATATCAAATATTTACATCACTTGAGGCTCTTTCTCCAGCAAACTGACCATGTTTCTGGTCTCCCAGATACATTGCAATGTTAACTCTGCTAACTAAGCAGGCAGTTACAGAGCCTAGAGCTGATATGGAAGAACATATGTTGGATAAATCAGTATAGATTTTAAAGGGTCTCTGGATTGTTGAGAGACTGATGTGTCTTATACCAGCTTTCCCCAGGCTAATGTATTCCAGATGTCTGGACTGTTTTTGGTGTAAAATTAATGTAGTTTAATACAACTAGAGAATACCAGTTTGGGAAAGACTTGTATTAGAATATGATAGTTTTATTTGGATGTTTTGCTGGGCGGAGATCATTTTACAATTCATATATGTTTAGCCTTAAAACTGTAGCTGGTCTACAAGAATCACAGCCAGGTAATTTTCAATATATTTATTAGTTTCCTGAGCTTAATTCTTTGTGTGGTTGTTGGAATGGCAGAAATATGGCAAATTTGGTAGCACAATTAAACATTTAGTGAAACTCTGTAACACACTACACAAACAGGAAGTAAAGTAAAAGTAGAATCAGTTTCAATATTTCGGATTCTGCTGCGCAATTCAACCACATATTCTCCTAGCTAATCAATAAAACTATCCATCGCTCAATAAAATACATAGAAAGAATATTAAAGGGTCAGGACTGTTACATTCTTTCCTTTCCTTGCTATTCAATGAAAGCATTTCATTGCTTTAAAATAATGCTACTAATGTTTATAGTATTTTTATAATCCACCCAGAGAATTATATTTACATTAATATATATTTCAAGAAAAGTGAACTCTTCCTCACACTTATCAAAGCCAAATGTGAAAAAAAATCCATATTTACATGTAGAATTGGTGCCATAGGAATCAACATGAAATAAGTAAATATTCATAATTTACAGAACACATGGACATATATAGGCAGAGAAGCTTTCCATATCACAAGAGCAATCTTTACACTTTGTCTCTGCAATGGACTGCTTTTCAGAGATTTGTGTGGTAGTTGAAAAGTCCTAATTGTGTGCTTTTCTTCAGACCTGGTGTAGATGACCTTTTCCTATACATTTTGGAATATTGTGAGCTTCCTTCCAACAACGATGGGAAAAGTGGTGCCTTCTTGAAACTTTGCCTCCAGTTTCTATCAGTCACAGGCAGGGTTGGTGGGATTAGGTTCCAAACCAGTGTTTCTTAACCTTAACAAGTTTAAGATATATAGCTTTTAACTCTGCTGGCTGAGGAATTCTGGGAATTGAAGTCCACACATCTTAAATTTGCCAAGGTAGAGAAATACTGCTCCAAACAATCTGGAAAATACCCGACTGAGGCACACTGAGATACAGAAGTTGAGATCTAAAGAGTTCTGAAGATACCTCAGATTGAACTGGGGACATTTCTATCAGTTAAGAGGAGGTTCATTACTGAATTGCAGCCACTCCTTGAAAACACGAATCAAGGCTTTTACCAATTCACTAGAATGCCACCAGCTCTCACCCGTGTGATCCAATTATTTCTTATTTGCAGCAAGTGAACCATATCCTATTTTCTCGTCAGAAAATAGAGGGTATAGTCCTATACCTCTATTTATAAGACAGAGACACAGGGATCAAGTGCCAGTCAGTTTCTGAGATGGAAATTTCCCCACAATATTTCTTGTTTACAGAAGAATATGAATGCAAATTGTTGATTTAGAATTACACATTACTACACCTATTTTTTCTAATGTGATGCTACATGGAATCTACTTGCCTCCATAAATGATTAAACTCTTTTCTGCTGATAGGGTTTCAGTGAATGTTTGTTCCAGCCTTAACTGGAAAACCAATAGACTGAAACTGAAAACTGTGACATAGAGAGTAAGCACTCCACCATTGAGTCACATCCCCTTTTCACATATTCTGTCCCTTTTAATCCTTGCTCATTTTTGCTCTAATCACTATCATACCTTTTAAAAATCCTTTTGTGCCATAAAAATAGCAGAAATGCAGGTGCATGCTTATCTGTCACTTTTTAAAAAATGGTCTCCCCAATCTATCTTATGCTTTTCTGCTTCCACTTATAAAGTTGAACACATATATTTTATAATGGGAAATGTCACAACAAGAGACTTGAAAGAGGATCACATACCTTGAAAAGACATTTTACCACAAACATTTGTAGGAGCCATTTTAAAAAAAAAATATTGAAAACAAAAATACATAAGGCATTATCAGATCTTAAGCAAAGATGAATTTGTAAGATTACTGAAGGCAAATTACTTCATAGGACCATTTGTCTACAACCATGCTAGGAAGAAAATGGGAACTGACAAGCCGTATCTACATGCACCTCAAATTTTGAAATGTTCAATATTTAATTTCTGAGAAAAATATATCTTATCCATAAGTATTAGTTCTCAAAACATTTTTATTATTACGCTCCAGACATAGTCAGAGTCACTGTGTAGGAAATATTATAGTACCAGATTCCTGGAACAGCTCTGATCAAGAACTAGTTGTTCCCAAGAGCCAATGATATCAGCACAAAAGAGGACAAAACATATTTAATCAACAAAAGTTATGTTTTGTCTGGCAAAACATCATAAATATATAGCATTTTCTAGTTACCCACCATTCATGATAGCTAAAAATATCCTCTACAAGCTCTAAAGAATGGAAACAATGTACAGTAGAACTTAATAACGCTCTATCTGCTTCACTAAAATACATGTAAGATTCTCTTTCTATGCTGTTCTCCTAATGCAACATTATCTTAAGTTCCAAGTACCTTTTGAAGAATGTCCAGATAGGATTTTTCTTGTGCAGCAGAAATGTCAGGCACCACGCTCCCTGACATCTTGATTATTTTGCCCAAATCATCCTTCAAATTGCAGCGTGTATATCCAATCTCAACCAGAAATATTACATTCCATTGTATATTGGACTTAAAAGCAATCTAATTCAGTTGCCTAGGTTTGTCCTTACATCAATAAGAATTCTGTCCTTGAACACCTCTCAAACTTTCGGCTAAGGTGGCTACATTTCAGGATGTAAGCAACAACTGTGATTCTCCAAAATCAATAATTGTACGCCTTGGTTGGGGAAAAAGAGGAGGAAGAAATCTAATAGTTTTACTATTTATGTTTTCCTTCTAATTAACATTACTAGGAAAAACGCTGGGTGGGAGTATTTAATAGAGGTTGTAGTGCAACTTGTTTTCTAGAACTCTAGGTACCCTACTTGTACCTTTACAATTAATGACTTCCACAAGGACATAGGTCCAAAGCCTTTTCTGTAGCCTTCTTCATAATCCCCAACATCTGTTCCAACTCCATGCCAGGCCAACTGTGGGAATTGGCTGTCAGCAGCAGCACAGATGAGTAGATATATAAATGCATATGTCAGTCAGCCCTGTGATTTCAGCTAAGAATTTTGGGCAAAAAGCAAGTTTCTGATTTAAGCTATTCACTATATAGAGGAAGCACCTGCTCAAAAATGTATCCAAAATACATTTTTCAGGAGCTTTAAGGAAAGAAAAAGTCCTATAATTGACTTCTTTTCAATTATATTTCAATCAAGGTATGACAAGAACACAACCCATATCATTCTTGCTAAAGAAGCCTCATTAATAATATAAACCACTTGCTTTCCTTTATAAATACACAGTTGCAAGACAATTTTTAATCTTAGCTTGAACTGCAGCTGAGGCACATGATCTTTACTGTAGCATGGATAAGCTATAGGTCAGGCAGTTGCTGATGCATAAATCAACATGGATAAAGGCAAAGGTAATCTGATAGCAAATAAGTGCCAAATGCGATAGCATCCACTTGGTAACAACAGAATATAAACTATGAATATTCTATCCTCCCTACCAGGTTAGTCATATCTTTTTTCCACCACGAATTCAGAAACAGTAGGAAAACTCATTCTTCATTTTCAATGAAATCTAGTGTGATCTAGTGGTAAAGTGATATAAGAACACTATTCACTTGGCAAAATCCATTAATTTGGAGTCATCTGATAACTCAAGGAACAGAACAATAAGCTATCTAACCCCCCCAAGCCATCTCCTGAGAATTACTTCGATGTACAGGATATAAATTAACATCTGAATATATATTTATCAACATTTTACTGCTAATTAATAATACATTTAAATGTTGCTTTACTCTCAGCATCTCCGGAAGGTTTACACATTTACAAATAATAAAGAGATTTTTTTTTAAAAAAAATGCATTAAAAATCAGCTATTTCACAGACTTTGGACATACTACAACTTACATAAATTTATTCCAGAAAAGCTTTATGGGGTGTAAATAGCCCTAAAATGTTTTATTTTCTTGGCAATTACCTAATTTTATTTTACTTAACCATACCTAACTGACCTTATTTCTATTA